ACAAGAAAGTGAGTGGGAGCACTACAACATTTCTGATAAGTATATGTGAATGACATATTGTTGATCGGAAATAATGTAGAATTATTCTGCAAAGCATAAAGGAGTGTTTTGAAAGGAGTTTTTCAAAGCAAGACCTCGGTGAAGCTGCTTACACATTGAGCATCAAGATCTATATAGATAGATCAAGACGCTTGATAAGATTTTTTCAAATGAGTACATACCTTGATAAATTTTTGAAATAGTTCAAAATGGAACAGTCAAAAAAGGAGTTCTTGCCTGTGATGCAAAGCTGTGAAGTTGAGTAAGACTCAAGACCCGACCATGGCAGAAAATAGAAAGAGAATGAAAAGTCATTCCCTATGCCTCAATCATAGGTTCTATAAAGTATGCTATGCTGTGAACCAGACCTATTGTATACCTTGCTCTGAGTTTGACAAAGGAATACAATTTTGATCTAAGAGTAGATCACTGGAAAGCGGTCAAGAATATCCTTAGTGAGGACTAAGGAGATGTTTCTCGATTATGGAGGTGATAAAAGAGCCCGTCGTAAAAAGTTACAATGATGCAAGCTTTTACACCGATCCAGATGACTCTAAGTCTCAATTTGGATACATATTGAAAGTGGGAGCAATTAGCTAGAGTAGCTCCGTGCAGAGCATTGCAGACATAGAATATTTGCAAAATACATGCGGCTCTGAATGTGACAGAACTGTTAACTAAGCTTCTCTCACGAGCAAAACATGATCATACCTTTGTACTCTTTGGGTGTTAATCACATAGCAATGTGAGCTAGATTATTGACTCTAGTAAACCCTTTGGGTGTTGGTCACATGAAGATGTGAACTATGGGTGTTAATCATATACAGATATGAATATTGGCGATGTGAACTAGATTATTGACTCTAGTGCAAGTGGGAGACTGAAGGAAATATGCCCTAGAGGCAATAATAAAGTTATTATTTATTTCCTTATTTCATGATAAATGTTTATTATTCATGCTAGAATTGTATTAACCGGAAACATGATACATGTGTGAATACATAGACAAACATAACGTCACTAGTATGCCTCTACTTGATTAGCTCATTAATCAAAGATGGTTATGTTTCCTAACCATAGACATGTGTTGTCATTTGATTAACGGGATCACATCATTAGGAGAATGATGTGATTGACATGACCCATTCCGTTAGCCTAGCACTTGATCGTTTAGTATGTTGCTATTGCTTTCTTCATGACTTATACATGTTCCTGTAACTATGAGATTATGCAACTCCCGTTTACCGGAGGAACACTTTGGGTGCTACCAAACGTCACAACGTAACAGGGTGATTATAAAGTAGTACTACAGGTGCCTCCAAAGGTACATGTTGGGTTGGCGTATTTCGAGATTAGGTTTTGTCACTCCAATTGTCGGAGAGGCATCTCTGGGCCCTCTTGGTAATGCACATCACTATAAGCCTTGCAAGCAATGTAGCTAATGAGTTAGTTACGGAATGATGCATTACGTAATGAGTAAAGAGACTTGCCGGTAACGAGATTGAACTAGGTATTGGATACCGACGATCGAATCTCGGGCAAGTAACATACTGATGACAAAGGGAACAACGTATGTTGTTGTGCGGTTTGACCGATAAAGATCTTCGTAGAATATGTAGGAGCCAATATGAGCATCCAGGTTCCGCTATTGGTTATTGACCGAGAATAGTTCTAGGTCATGTCTACATAGTTTTCGAACCCGTAGGGTCCACACGCTTAAGGTTCCTATGACGGTTATATTATGAGTTTATGAGTTTTTATGTACCGAAGGAGTTCGGAGTCCCGGATGACATCGGGGACATGACGAGGAGTCTCGAAATGGTCGAGACGTAAAGATCGATATATTGGACGACTATATTCGGACATCGGAAGGGTTCCGAGTGATTCGGGTATTTTCGGGGGTACCGGGGAGTTACGGGAATACGAGGAAGAAGCAATGGGCCTCATGGGCCAAATGGTGGAAGAGAGGAGGCAGGGCGCGCGGCCCCCTAGCCCAAACCGAATTGGACTAGGGGGCCGGCCCCCCTTTCCTACTCTTCCTCTCTCTCCTTCCTTCTCCTTCTCCTTCCCTTCCTTCCCCTCTCCTAGTTGGACTAGGAAAGGAGGGAGTCCTACTCCCGGTGGGAGTAGGACTCCTCCCTGGCGCGCCCTCCCTTGGCCGGCCGCCCCTCCCCCTTGCTCCTTTATATACGGGGGCAAGGGGCACCCCATGACACACAAATTGATCTACGGATCGTTCCTTAGCCGTGTGCGGTGCCCCCCTCACCATATTCCACCTTGGTCATATCGTCGCGGAGTTTAGGCGAAGCCCTGCACCGGTAGAACATCATCATCATCACCACGCCGTCGTGCTGACGGAACTCATCTCCGGAGCTTTGCTGGATCGGAGGCCGGAGATCGTCATCGAGCTGAACGTGTGCTGAACTTGGAGGTGCCGTACGTTCGGTGCTTGAATCGGTCGGATCGTGAAGACGTACGACTACATCAACCGCGTTGTGCTAACGCTTCCGCTTACGGTCTACGAGGGTACGTGGACAACACTCTCCCCTCTCGTTGCTATGCCATCACCATGATCTTGCGTGTGCGTAGGAAATTTTTTGAAATTACTACGTTCCCCAACAGGTACATGGTGAGCCCTTTCCCGAGGGAAAATCCTAATGACAGCTCATTGCGGCAAACTGTCGGCGCTTTGCACATGGCGAGCGACCGAGCGATGTGTGATGCTTTGGGCCGGCCCACTTACGTACATAGCTTAGAACTGTCCATCCCGGTTTTGTGAACCTTTTAGAAGCTTCCACGAACCGGGTATTTTTCATTTTTCTGGTTTTAAAAAAAATTCACTTTCCTGATTCTTTTTTTCGTTTTCTGTTTCTTTTTCATTTTTTTGTTTTCTTTTTTTGTTTCCTTTTCTTTTTCATGTTTATTTTTCTTTTCAGAACATGTTCGCAGTTTTACAAAATGTTTAGGATTTTTTATTTCTTTTTCTTTTAAAAAAAATGATAATTTAAAATTTGGTCCGTGTTTCCAAAAAATGTTTAGTTTTCGAAAAAATATTCTCAAAATTCAAAAATTGTTCTCGATACACAAAAAAGTTCAAAACTTTCAAAATTCAGCAAATGTACCGGATTTTAATTTTTTTTTCATATATTCAAAAAATGTTTGCGCTTCCAAATTTGTTCGGGATTTTTAAAAATTGTTCTCCTTTCAAAATTTGTTCTCAAGTCAAAAAATGTTCGTGCTTTAAAAATAATGTTCACACTTCCAAATTTGTTCGGGATATTTCAAAATTGTTCTCCATTTCAAAATTTGTTCTCAAGATTCAAAAAATGTTCATGCTTTAAAAAAAGTGTTCGCACTTCCAAATTTGTTCAGGATTTTCAAAATTGTTCTCCTTTTCAAAATTTGCTCTATGATTTAAAATGTTCGTGCTTTAAAAAATAGTTCGCGCTTCCAAATTTGTTCTCAGGATTCAAAAATCGTTCATGTTTTAAAAAATGTCCGTGTTTTCGAAAAATCTTTTGGAAATTCAAATATTTTTCCTTTTCATATTTTTTCACATATTCAAAAAATGTTCACAAATTCAAGAAATTGTCTGCATGTTTAATTGTTTCACTAATTCAAAAAATTGTTCCTGTTTCCGAGAATTGTTCACATATTCCAAAAATACTGCAGTTTTGAATTGTTTTTCAAAAATTTAAAAAAGAGTCATGTTTTCGAAATCCATTGCCAAATTAAAAAAATGCTCGACTTTTTCTAAAATAGTTTTATTTTAAAAATGTTCTGTTTTCCAAAAAAAATATTATTTTCAAAATATGTTTTGTGTTTATGAAAAGTAGTTCATAATTTAAATATATTCATGTATTCAATTTTTTGTTCCGGTTTTGTTTTAAAAAATTGAGTCCCCTAGCAATGTTTGCGTTTCAAAAAGAGTGTCTTTTAAAAAAAATTATGTTTCAAAATTTAAAATAAATTTTAATGTGCATCGGGTTATAGTTCATATACTCCAGGCTGCCATTGTAGTCACTAAATATTACTCCCTCCGTTAGGAATTACTTGTCGCAGAAATGGATGTATCTAGACGTATTTTTGTTCTAGATACATCCATTTTCGCGACAAGTAATTTCGAACGGAGGGAGTAGATAGTACAGTGGCCATTGACACGCTTCCCTATCCAGAGTACTCGAGTTCGATCCCTTGCCCACAAATTTTAATTTATGGAATGGGCTGAATTGGTTTTTATTTTTCGCTGCTGCGGCAGTTTATTTAAACTGCTCTGCCGCTGCTATTCTTTCAGAGTAGCTAGCCTGGCGCAGTGGCTAGAGCATCGCATGCCCCCTGTGCGTTGCGCGACCTGGCCGCAAAATGCGGCATATTTTTTTTTTTGAGTGGCAGCAAAATGCGGCATATAGGAGGTCACTTTCGGAAACGTGGTAAAGGGCCGTTGTTGAGAGAGAATTTTTGGCCCATGTGCTTCCAGGCCCACTCAGGTCTATCCCAAAACTGTGGCTAGGGTTAGCAAGAACGCAGGGGCGGCGGCTAAGCACGTGAAATTATAAGGGATGACGGGACCGGCCAGCTCTTGTCCTCCTTCAATCCCGATTTTCGGCCGACGGGTTCTACCGTGATGTTCGTTTCGGCGCTATCGTCCAGGTTACCCTCCCTTCTGTTCTCCTTTCCTATTGATTTTGCTATTAGTTAGGCCGGTGTAGATCTGCATCTGCATCTGCTCTCGTTTTATAAATTTCAATCATTCTTTTCATAGGATACATTTTTTCAAATTCGATTATAGCTTAGCAAAATGATTTGTTTTTCCTGGTCCTTATTCGACTCGTTTGTGGTTTGTTTTGTCATTATTAGGAGTCGAGGTTCCTTTGGATACAAATTCCGAGTCGGGTCGGATTAGTAGGCACTCTTATCTGACCACTATATATGCCTATGAATACGCAGGGCACGGCCAATTCATGTTGACCGGAAACAACGATATGAAGCCGCCGATTCCTAAACGACCCCGGCGGATGGCTATGTCGCCGGAATCAGCACCTTTAGCCTCCGGCAGTAGCAGCTTCATCCCAGATGATATAATCTTCTTTCAGATACTCGTACTTCTTCCTGTGAAGTCCCTTGTGCGCTTCCAAACCGTCTGCAAGTCATGGCGCACCACATTAACCAGCATCAGTTTCGTGCGCTGGCACCTGGAGCTTTCCAAGCGAACAAGGTCGACCATGGTCCTCGTGCCACGCAAGTATCAGGAGGACCGACGGAAGGCGTGTTCTAGATTACTCAGTATCTTCAGCTTCCAGCCAGGGGAAAGCAAGTGTGCGGAGCTTATCTTCCGAAAGGAATTTCATCCCTATGGGATCCCTGTGTTCAGCATTCCTCTCCATTGTGATGGCCTGATATTGATCCCTTGCATAATGGGGAAAATTTTCATCTGCAACCTGGCCACTAGAGAGTTTGTTGAGTTGCCACCTGGAAGCCCAAGTGTTCTCTTTGAGCACAGGGTCGCCTTTGGCTTTGATCCTTGGAGTGGTACCTACAAGGTGGCGAGGCACTTCATCCGCTCGTACAGAGATACTCTGCAAATAGATGGGGAAGGAGGCACCACTAGAGAATACAGCAGTGGACATGAGATCTTAACATTCGGTGGTGACAGCAAAGAAGAAGCTTGGGTATGGAAGGCCACTGTGGATCCACCATACCCTATCAAGGCCAGGACTCCAATTTGTCTCCCAGGGGTCTTCTTTTGGAGTGCTCTCAAGTCCATGGCACATGGCAAGGTTATCTCGAATGTCATCCTTCGATTTAGTTTACTTGATGAAACATTTACGGTGCACCCTAACCCTCCATGTAGTGATCATCTAGGCAAGAATGATGCACTATCTGCACTAGGTGGAAAGTTATGCTATATCCACTCTCCCACTCCGTGGGAGATTGCCATTTGGTTAGCGGAAGATGGGCCAAATCTGACTTGGTCACTATGCCGCCGTGTCAGTCTGCCGATACCAAGAAATCTTCTTGCCTTTGCATGTGCGTCAACTGACCCGGACAAGATATTCCTCTCCATTGATGCGCGCTACCTTCTCAGGTGTGACCTCCATAATGAATCTCTTGAAGAAATAATCAACATGCGTGACATGTTGTATGATCTCCAGAAGGGCAGAAAATTCACCATTGGTTCACTCTTTGTTGCCCACTATATGGTGCCATTTGTGGAATCACTGTTGCGCATCAGATCTTCATAGCAACAAGCCATCATATCGTATGTGATGTGATCTAATAAATGTTGTCCAATTTCTTGTGTGCAAGTGTTGCAATCAAAATTCTGCATTAATACATATTTGTTTTTGTATTGTTCTTACCTACTCCTTCCAATGCTTTTCGTTATAAGTTAATATTGTCCAGCACAAATTTTGCATGATTCAGTACAATTGTGTATTTCCTTTTTTTAAATAGCACTCAAGCCTTGCTGATCAAGTATGTGTTGATGTAGCATGAAACTTTCAGATATTGTACCTGACTAGCAAGTTGTCCGTGCGTTGCAACGGAACAAATGTTGTGATCTTCGATGATGAAGATGGTAGAGATCAAGCATAACAGAATATTTAAAAATGATAAAAATACATGAAAGAGTGGACATTTAAACTTCATATATAAGATGTGTTACATAAATTAAAATGAAAACATAGCTCACTTCTGCAAATCTGTTAACGTCTTCTTTCACAATGTATAACACAACTTACAAATTGTTCCACTAATATGATAAAGCCAACGGTCAATTAAACAATTCAGCTCATTGAGCAAAATGGACAAAAGGAAAATGAATAGGTCAACATTAGTGAACCGGAAGTTCTGACAATACCTACATTAATTAGAGAATTAAACCATACATGCATTTCTCACAGCCATACACTTACAAAACTTGACCATATTGTAATCAATCATGTACAACTGTTTCACACCAATTGTTTATTTTAATGCCCTCCCCTGTCTTTGGATGAATCAAGAAAGGACAGTTGCTTAACCATGTCCAGCAGCCTTTTTATTAAGGTGAACCCCTTCTATCAACACCACAAGGATTTCTTATCTTTCGATCATGAGAAGGAAGATTAATCGAATCCCTCTTCTGCCTTCAATGAGCAACAACCGAACGTGTAGTAGGCTCTGAACTGAAATTCAACTTCATGGACCAGCTTTTGCCTTTTCCTCTGCTCTTACCTCTCCAAATTTTAAAAAAGAACTAAAAAAGTACTTCTCCCGTGCCACAATATGAGACGTCTTATATTGTCGGACAGAGGGAGTACCTCATAAGATTCCTTAACCAAGTGTTCATCCACCCAAAAGCATACATCTGAAGCAAAATTGAGTCCTACTGTTTACATGGAACAAATAACTCCGTGTAAACTTTACTTGAAATGTTTTCGAGAGCTATGCCTAATCCAATTAACTGAATGGATTTGAACTGGTGATTTATTCAAGTAATGCACAATGTTGGCACACTGAATACCAAGGAATGACCCGAGCTGAATTACCGAGCTAACAAACTAATAAAGTAGAGCATACTGGATGCCTCTGATCTTGATACAACATGGAAGAAAAGCGTACCTTTATTCATTGAGTGTGGGATCCGAGAACTTCACTACTTAAGAAGACACTTATCCATTCTTGATCAAGCTGCTCTACTTATCTTGATGTCATGTAGAAAAATCTGGCACAGATCACAACGAAAAAACAGTCTGGATATTTGCATAGCAAATCTGGTAACAACGCGAAGGGATGGAGTAGAAGGAATTTCACCAAGGATGAAGTACAAAATTCTGCAAAGAGTCAAATATAAAGGCTAAATCCATAGTTCGGTAATTTGCAGATCCACAGCCAACTTGTTTCCAAACATTTCACAAATTCACATGTCAAGGAGAGATTATGGTTTCAATCACACAACTGTACGAATCTCATGCACATCATCTCTGCTCTGAAAAAATGACCAATTTCTTGGATCCGGCAACAGAAACATGTACAACTTTTCAAGAATCTTCCAACAGCTCAACCATTGCAATCAGCGGCAATGCCAAGCGCAGCAAGGTACCAAATACGCATCACTGGAATCGAGAGTTGCCGCAATCCGAGCTGACGCAAACCATTAATTCCCAAAGTCACCTAGCAAGTAGTAGTATAATTGGACATGTTTTCAGGACCGTGGACCTCAAATTCCGCCGATGCCATTGCAGGCCGAAGAAGAGGAGAAGCGTCACTTAGGCTGGTCATAGTGGGGAGTAACTTAGACTAGTAACATGCATATGTTACTAGTCTATGTTACTACCTCTATAGTGCATAGTATCATAGATGGTTTCATTTATTGCCATGCATGACACATAGTAGCACCATATTTATTATGTTACGGTATCTACGTATGTTACTATAACCAATTGTGTGCCACATAAGCATGTTTGTGAGTCCCAAGTGCATGATACTACTTATGTTACTCCCACTATGGCCAGCCTTAGTTACTGGTCTCGGAGACGAAGAGGAGTAACATGACGAGGGCGGAGATGAGCATGACAACGACGCCAGAGTGTGAGCTTGTAGAAGTCCTCGTTGGCCTTGGGGTAGGCCTCGGGCCCCTTGAGCTTCTACAGGAGCCACTCCATCTCTCTTTTCCTTCTCCTCCGCCGCCGCGGAGATCGCTCGTAGGCAGCAGTAGCTGGCGCCGAACCCAAATCCCCCCGATCTGAGAGCGGGCAGGGTGGCTGGGGCGCGCCCGTGTGCGCGGCGGTAGGCAGCAGCAGCTAGCGCTGAACCCCAATCCTCCTGATCCGAGAGTGGCCGGGGTCGCTAGAGCGAGCTCGTGCGATAGAGTTTGACCGGCGCGAGATTCTGGCGGCAAGGAATTCGTGATGGTTTCTCAAAGACTCGGTTTCTTTCGCGATAGAAGGAGACTCGGTGCGGCGTGATATCTCTATCTTAGCCTTTTATTCCATATCGGACGGCCGGGATGGTAAGAGGCAGACACACCATCACCCTCAACTCCCTTTTTTATAGGAGTAGAGATATGGAGTGCTAGCTGAACCACATGACATGCACGACTTCATTCTTGTCATAGATAAGTATTTGTTGACAAAGAATGTATCTAGAGCCAGAGGGCACTCCTTGTATGACCTAAGTTTATTGCCCTTGCATCAAGTTTAGTGGACACCATGATTGTGCAACTTGGCATGCTTCCATGGCTTCTACTACCTCTGTCCTGGTTTATTGGTTCCCGTTGTATTTTGTGCCAAATTTTGACTATAAATTTAACTAACAAGATGTTCATGCATGTCAAAAAAATATATAATTGAAAACTATGTTCAAATACGAATCCAATGATATAATTTTTGTTGACATGCATTAATATTTTATTAGCTAAATATTTGGTCAAAATTTGGCATAAATTATAAAGGGGACCAATACACCAAGACGGAGGTAGTAGGATTTAATATCTACTCCCTTCGTCCGAAAACCTTGTCCCAAATTGTCCTTCAAATGTTTGTATCTAGCACTAATTTGATGCTAGATACATCTATTTGAGGGACGAGCTTTTTCGGAGGGAGGGAGTATATTATATTTTATTTAGTAGCAAGTGTTGCAATGGGGAAAAAATCAATGCATCTAGGTCAATAAGCATGGTTTAAGGCCCTCCACATGCCCACATCGACATCCTCCATTCAACATGGCAAGGAATCACTAATAGAATAAAAATGAATATGCAATATTAATAATAAGGCTTAAGTTCGTAATTCAACTTGTATGGTGCTAGCTGAAAAGAAGTCTGCATGCCATCCATCCTATTTAATACTATTTGCATTATCAGAAGTAAGCGGCTTTAATATTGAGAAACATGTTGGGGAAGATAAATGAATATAAGTGGTGCACTACCAGCGAAATTTCAGTGGTAAAAAATGAATGAGTGCTTCGAAAGTGTCTTTCTGCTCCCAAGCTCATTTGAGATTGGTGAACAGTAAAACTGAAAAAATAAATAAAAAAGTCTGAGATTTTGTTGTGGCAAACATTAACAAAAGTTTCTAGTGCTTGCAAAAATTCGTCATGGAATCACATACCTATGAATTTTTGCGAGCACTGAAAATTTCTGTCAATGTTTGTCACAAACAAATTTCAGATATCTTTTGATTTTAAACTCTGCGTGCATGAATGCTCTAGATCTTTTTGCATGATGTTAAGATGGCACCTAAATCAAACGTGGCTTGATAACCATTTCCACAAGGCCGGCTGGACTATCTTGGCACCGGGACACGGTACGTCACTTTTTTTCCGAAAAAGGGCTAACATTGCAGCCGGTCTCTACATAATTAAGATGCACTCTACATAATTAAAATGCACACAGTCAAACAAAATCCTCTCATATAAATGAAAAATAAAAAAAAGAATACAAAGAAACATGTAGAGTTCATATAATGCCTAAAGCGAAGGTGGGTCAATCCTAAGATCATGCTGCCATCCATGTTGAGTAAAAGTATTCCTCGTCGCATCCTCTAATCGAGTACACACCTCCAAAAATAGGTCTTGATTCTCCACGCGTTGTAGAGAGAACCGTAAACGAAGAGTCTCGACACATGTGTAGATAGTCTGTATTAGAGAAGTACTTTTATCGTTTAAAACCTTATCATTTCTACGTAGCCAAAGCGACCAAATAACAGCAAGCGCTCCCACCCTAAGAAGAGTTCTACACCTATGATCAATCTCATATAACCAGTTGCCAAATACATTAGCAACACTACAAGGAGGATACAAGCCAGAAGTTATGTGGATGATTGACCATATAGACCGAGCCAATTTGCATTGGAAGAATAAATGTTTTATTGTCTCATTGCGATGTTAAAAAATACATTGCGTACTTCCATGCCATTTCCTCTTGATAAGATTATCTTTAGTCAGAATGACTCCTCGATGAAGATACCATGCAAATATTTTATTCTTAAGAGGTATCTTCATCTTTTAGATCTTCTTGTTATTATCATCTGGCACATTAGACTGGATTAATGCTCTATACATAGACTCCACTAAGAATTGCCCATTCCCATGTAGGTTCCATCGAAATACATCAGACCCATATGACAAATGCACTATGGACAACAGTTGGAGCAGGATGTACCATGATTGGAGTCTGGGTCCAATTAAATCTCTTCTGAACGTCACATTTGGCGGAAATGGTTCCATTACCGTGGCGATAGTATCACACTTGTGACGAACA